TTTTCCTTTAAGGGTCTGACAAAAAAAAACTTAAAATTAATTTTTTATCTATAACTCTTGATATTTCTATATTCTAACTTAAGATTTATTGACAAAAAGTATAAGAAACAGAGTGTATTATAATTTATTATATAATAATGGCCATTTTTAAAGCTTGACTATGGAAAGCCGCAGAGGATGCTTAGCCTCTGTAGAAAACAAAGAAGAAGTGACAGTTGAATTGCAGAAAGAGAAAAAGCTACTCGAGAAGCGAGCCAAATTAAACCCCTATATATCAGGAAAAAAAATTTTATATTCAAAAAAATTATTTAACAATGCCCAATTTTACAATTCAAAAAAAAGTAATTTTACTCAAAGACTGATTATATTGAAGAGGATCTTTTGTAGATCAAGAAGATTTGGTTTTATTTAAGATGTTTATTTATTAAGATTTATTACATAGTTTTCCTAAATGATGATTTGCCATAAACAATTACAGATCATTCCAAAACGTTCCAATTGAAGAGTTTGAACTTTATGATTGGCAAAGCAGAATCCTTCATTAAAAATTATTCTTATAGATAGTATATCTATCCCCACAATGCTCATTAATGCCTTTAACAATTTCTCTTGTATCTATTTTATTTTTTATAAACATTAAAATTTTTCTGGGTCAAAATCCATCGATGCAACGAGTGAATAATTTTTTGATATTATTAGCTTACGCTATCTCGTTTTAAATGAAAATTAAACTTGATAAATGATATTGTGTTTTTTATTTCAATTATATATGACGGAATTAACTAACGTCTTTGTTTTATAATTTAAAAATAAATTTATTTTAATATAAATTAGTTCTATGATGCGTAAGTAGACCAATGAAACCTTACTGGTAAGCAGATACCACTTAATAATATTTTTAATATAAACGCTTTTATTTAAATATTTCTTAAAATTTTAATCTAAATTTTGTTTGTTGTTTTTAATTATCCTCGATACCCCTCTTTTGAAAAAATTTATTTATATTATGGATAACGATAACATGTTTCTTTTATTAATTAGTGACATCAGAAACCATGTTACAAATATGAAATAAATTAAGCATGAATCTTGGAAAGTTATTGTTTCGTATCTATTTGTTTTATATTTATCAAAAACAAAAGCTATTAATAGATTAAAAGTTATCTAAAATATGGAATAAAAAAAAGGTTAAATTAAAAAGTCTTTTAATTTTGGTAGTTTGGTCGAGTACTACCTAAAGAATAATTCACTGCCAGCTATTTCCGGCAGAATAGATTATAAATTTTAACTTGAAATTTATAAATTTAACAAAAAAACTAAAGTAACAATTATATAAAAGTTTTAAAATAACAATTTTTTTTGTTCCTTTGTGACATAAAACGTAATAAATATGGCATATCATGATTTTAATTTTACATCTAGGTTGTATTTGCTTTTTAATACACCCCAATTACCTTCTATAGTATTGGTATGAACGTTACTTATTGAACCATAAAAAAGAGTATGATTTACAGTATAATGTTCTTTCATTTAAGTCTTTTCCTTGCTATTATGCCCTTTTCATAAATCAAAATAGATAATTGAATCTTTAATAGCAAATTAAAAAAATAACTCTGATTTGGAACAGGAAATAAAACAATTTTCATGTCTATAATCCTTTTAACCATCCCGAATATCCAAACTTCATCATTTCGATGTTCTTTATGATATTTACGTCGTCCAAACTTACCTTCATTCAGTTATATTATTATATCCTTTCCACCTAAAAATTGATCTTTAATTTGTAAATACTTAGAATAAAGATTTTCACTAGAAATTATTTAAAGAATACTTGTAACAACAGAGGGACCTATACCTAATTTTTTACCAGTATGTAATGGTGTTAATCTTTTTGTTGTGGATAATCATAACATTTGAATTTTAATTTATTAGTGTAATCTAAAACAGCTATATTAATAAAAACTAATAAATTTATTTGCATCTTTGTAATGATTGGTGTAACAAGAAAAGTTTTGATTTAATCAAAACTAAAAATATAAATAGCACCAAAAAATACAAAAATGCAATCAATAATAAATTTACTAAAATGTTTTAAATTTGGTAGTTTAATTAAATACTACCATAAGAACAACAATCTGGCATCTATTTCTGGCACCTTTCATCCATAAATTAAGAACTTCCAAAATTAGTAAGTGCTTTATTTTTCTTCCTTAAAAAGTTGTATTAAAAAATAAACTACGATCAGATCTACATTTGATGTACGTACAACGTACTTTGTGTTTGGACGGCAAGACACATGTCATATATCAATGTGTTGTTTGGCTTAAGATATTTAAAATGTCCAAATATATATTTACATTTTTAAATAAACCCATTTTTTCTGATAAGCACTTTTTAGGCAACAACGCAAGGAAAATGTATCTAATATTTTGATTAATTTTTTAAAGTTTTAAAAATTTTATATTGCTTTTGTTGAACAAATAGATCTTAAATTTGTTTATTATATATATAAAAAAAAAGAAATAGTAAATTGCTAAAATTAAAACATTTGAAAAACTTATTGTGCAATGTTGTTATGTTTTTTAAAAAAATATAATTCTAACTTTTGTTTTATAACTTAAAAGCTCAAGCAACAGTTATAAATT